AGAAAAGGGGCAGAGCAAATTATTACACCAATGTGCTCAGAAAAAATTAGATAAAAGACAAAATGTTTATTCCTCCAACCCTTCCTGATAGTAAGCATACCATAAACCTCAATGCATTCTTAAACTTGAAGCACTAATCTGATTTTTTTCCCTCTTGAGGATTAAATCTATAACGAGCTGAACATCCCACCCCCGTTTGACACATCAAACACTGTTTTAACTTTGATGCTACAGCCTCTATTGCTCCCATGTGACCTGCTACTTGTGTTTTCTAATTCTGGCAAACTGATAAGCACTAATGCAAAAGATTATTTGCTACTTTTTAAGTTATGCTTTAGTAACACAAGAATTTCCTCCCAGGTGACCTTCATGTCTTGTAATGACAGACTGAAAACTACTCATTTCAAATCAGTTTGTCTGTGATTTTATGATTATATTTTAACAAGATATACGTAAGCAAGCAGATAGCTTCATTCAGAGAATCCTCTTGTTTTCTTTACATCCTGTATAAAACTATAATGCTCTGATGCATGCTCGATAAAGAGGGCGGGGCGAGAACAACATCCGGGGATTTGGTGCGTTCTCGATCTGGCGTTCTTGAGAATTGGAAAGGTACTCGGGCTGTGGCTGATGACGTGTCACGAGTACACGAGCACACGAGAACGCTCAAGAACGCATATTGAGAAACGCCCTAAAACTCAATGTGGTTCAAAGTGGAGTCTGACTAACCTGACTCCGCCAGATGGATTTGCTCCGCATATCCATCTGGAAACCATCCGTAGAAGTAATTTTGGGAAGGGGCGAAAATACTGGTTAGCTGATTGGCCTATGTTGGTGATAGACGGGCCAAATAAACCAATCAGATCAACGAAGCATATGAAGTACTAACAGACCGATGACGGATACACAACCACAAGCCAGGCTACTCTTGCCGAAACCAGTCGGGAGAAGAGCAAAAACATCTTTTCCTCTGAGAAAAGCCTCCAGAGCAGTGTTTTGCTCTTCTTTCAGTGAAGAAATACTCTGTAACTCCGATAAAACTTGCTCGATAGCCACGCTAACGCTAGTTTCATCGGCTGAAGCCGCCATGTTCTTTAGACTGAACTGTCGAGCTTCTCGTTGCGTCACACCTCAACCCGCCTCAAAGCCAACGCTGATTGGACGTTTGTTTGGTGAACGGCTCCAAATTTTCTTTAACGGAGAGTCTCCAGACTGATTAGCGAGTGAAACCTTGAAAGCTCGCGAGATCAGGATGGTCTCACGAGGCTAGAGTCTGACCTCTACACAGGTGCCAAAAGTCTTAATGTTTATTACTCATGTAAGAATATAAATCATACTGCGTTTACTCAACTAAAACTTCAAAGTACACATTTTAAAACTACTTACACAATAAAAGTAAAATGAATGTTGGAAAAAATGTTATGGGCAGATATGCTTAACCTTATACTGGTTACTGCATTATAAGGAACATGTTTCTATAATTATGAATGATAACTTCCTTATTCTTAATTTTCTTAGTTCTATTTTTTTTTTTAATGGTAAAAGTATCAGATTTAATTTAGCATCATCTTGAAAATTTATTTATTTTGTTCAGTAGCAAACAACCAGTTGGTGCAGCGCCATCCACAAAGAAATACATTTTCTGGATGAAAATAAATTATTTTGATGGTTTTTATTTTTTATAAACACCAACAGGCCATAATGTAAATGAGCTTAAATAAAACTAAAGAGTCTATTTTTAAAATGTAAGGAGTATAAAGTAGAGATAATTGCAAAATAATTACTCGAGTAAAGTATAGATAACCAAAATGTCTACTCAAGTAAGGTAACAAAGTATTTATTAATTGACAACTCTTCCATAATTTCAACTATCTCACATGGGAAGCAGGTTAAACTGGTTCTGAATCATTAATCTTGCATTCTTCTGCCATTGACTCTTTGATATACTTTCAAATTCTGTCTCAGCAAGAAGCAAAAGACCAAGAGAAAAATAATGTTTGGTTAACTATATATATATATGTTAGGATAGAGGCCAAATTGTTTCTGATTATCTTAATAGGGTAGAAGCAAATTAGAGTCTTTTTAAAAGTCGTAACCAACAGATTTAGTAGTCTAACTTTTCTAGGAACGCTTCAGGTAAACCTTCCTCTAGATTTAATGCTGATGACTTGGTCTCCTGGTGGCCGTCTTCCTCCTGAGCCTTTGAAGAATAAAACTTCAGGGGATAAAACTCCATTTAAGTGATGCTCATTAATCGTACTGCTAAAAAAATAGAAATAAAACACCATAGGTAATAGGTGATGACTCAGTGTTTATACTTTTTTTATCCTGAAGGTAAAATTGTGTCAAATTAGCTACTTAACATGGTTGATTGTAGAGGATAAAAATACATTCCTTTTTATGTCTGATTGGTTTATAATTATTTCCACTTAAACGGTTTAACAAAAAGCTGCAGAAATCCTGGCAAGTACTTCAGCATCAAGTAAAAATAAAACAGGGATTTTTGTTTCAAATGAGAAAATAAGCTGATGAAAACAACTTTGAATGTTATTCATTTATTTATTTATTTTTGCAATAAATTAGATGAAATAGAAAATTTGGGGATGAAATAAACTTGAGTCAGTATGATAGGATATTTAAATATGCTTTCTTAATGTCACTATCTAGTCGTGATGTTATGAGATGAGCCGAGGCTTCGAGGCGTGTGTCGAGTAACGGAGGGGGCGCTTCCCCGAAGCGCGTGTCAAGGTGTGATTCATTTAGGGGAGGGGCTAAAATTGATGACGTCCGAAGCCTAGGTACAGTGATACCATGTGACAGCTGTGGCAAGTGCTTCAGAAAGCATAACTAGTCAGTCAAGATGTGGGAGTTTGTAGGACGGTTGCTGTCAATTGGATAGAGTTTGGACATATTCTAAGAATAGATTGGTTGGAAAAACAAGCAATCTAGTTGGTTAAAACTATTTTAGTTAGAATAAACAATGTAATGATCAAAATCTGAGCAGACTGCTGGACACAGTT